CCTTGCCCCATGCAGTCTCCTGGCATCCAAGGTGGGATGGTGGGGATGATGGGGCAGGGTGGCAGGGAGAGGTAGGCGGTGGCGATGGTGTGGTGGTGGTGGGGAGGGGACGTTCTCCCAACAAATACAGAATGAACGCGTTCTCCCAACAAATACAGAATGAACATGTGGCAAGTACAAACAGTAAACGGGGAACATAGTTGGGCCTGGCTAGGAAAGAAGGAAATGAAGGTCAGCTATTCTAGGGTTCACCTCTGGGAAACCTGGGGTACTCACACCACCCCACCTGTGAGGGTGGGGTTGAGTATGCTGAGATACTTGGGTGGCTTACCAATTGTTTTGTGCTCTTTATTTCTATGATTCTTGAAATAACTAAGGTCAGGAAGCTGGCTTTGCCCAGGAGTCAGGATGTTTTCCCGGCCTGTGGCCATCAGTTCAAGACCCATCCTCCTCCAGCATCTCCAACCCTCCCTGACTTCTTGTCTTAAAACGGTGACTTCCCTGTTTCCCCATCAAGGATGAGGCTTCCTGCCTTCACAGCTGAGCGGCTCTTGGACCCACAGCACGTCTGAGCCTGGCGTCAGGTAGAGACGAGGCTAGCTGATACACCCTTGGGGAGCAGGCCAACTTGAGGCCCCGGAGCACCAGCTGGCTTCTGGCTCTTGAGGCGGCGCGAGGGGTCAGGTCCTTTCTTGTCAGTGATGGCTCTGCCTGCCGGAACGTGGCCAGAACCTCTCTGCCGTCCCTGGGGCCTCACATAAGCCTCAATTTTCTCATCTGTAATATGGGAATTATTATAAGTCTAGTCCTGCTGCCTCCCTTGTGCACTGCAAATGGGGGGGAAAAAACTGTTAAAAAACATCTTATTAGAAAGTAAAGCCCTACATAATAATTGTTTATTTACCAACCAATGACATGTTTGCTGTATAAAACGCAAGAAAACAAGGGGGTTGGGGCCTCTCTAGTGGTTCAGCGGCTAACACTCCACTCTCCCAGCGAGGTGGGTCTGGGTTCAGTGCCTGGTCAGGGAATAAGATCCCTCATGCAGCAACTAAGACCTGATGCAGCGAAATAAATCAGTACTTTTCAAAAAAGAACAAGAGTTCGGGGGAGAGATGGATACCTGTGTACGTATGGCTGAGTCTCTCCACTGCTCGCCTCAAACTACCACCACATTGTTCATCAGCTATACTACAAGACAAAATAAAAAGTTTAAAGCTTGGGGAAAAAAAGAAAAGGGGGGATTAAATAATAGGAATTAAATTAAAATAGATTTTGTGCCAAATGCTTTTTTAGGAGAAATAGCAAAGTAAATGGGTTTCTTTTCTGCAGGACTTCCCAGGGCCTTTGGTATGCTACCAAGAGGGACCTACAAGAGGCCACGTGTCTTGACTTATGTAAACCCCTCTGCTTTTTAAAAAGTGGAGTTAGAATGGGTGCACCTCCAGCCCAGTTTTGGAAAAGATGCGTTGAGTGAGATTCTTGTCGCTGTTGTGACGACACTCCAGGTGACCCAGGGCAAATCTCCTTCCAGACAGCAAGGACAGCCCCCTCCTGCCCTGCAGGCTCATGGCCTGGGCCCCTCAGACTGACGACCAGGAGCTTTCCAGCCCAGCTCTCTGCTGCCCCAACGACAGCTCCATCAGAGCTGTGAGGAGGGGCTCTCTCCAGCGTCCCAGCTGCCCAATCTTGTCTGCCTCCTGCTGACGCAGCTGTCAGCAGCCGTGGGGAGGGAGCCAGCGCTCAGTGTCACTGAATCAGCCTCCATTCTGGGCCAGAAAGACCAGGCTCACGGCTCTCTTCTCTGCCAGGACCAAACAATAAACGGTCTGTCTGCCCTGCTCTGCAGGTCAGCAGGGACTTGTTGGACCTCGGACCTGCAGGAAAGACACACTTCCTTTTCTTCCTTCTGCTGTACTCCTAACGCGGCTGAGAATTTGATTTCAGATTAAAAGTCCTCTTATTTTTAAATTACAGATGAAAGAATGCTCACTGTAAAAATATCCACTAATACAAATATTATTTGTATAAGGTTTAAAAGGTTTAACAGGTATAAGAAGATTACGGTGCTATTTATATACAATTGTAGTATTGGAAAAGACTCCTGAGAGTCCCTTGGACTGCAAGGAGATCCAACCAGTCCATCCTAATGGAAATCAGTCCTGAATATTCATTGAAGGGACTGATGCTGAAGCTGAAACTCCAACATTTTGCCACCTGATGCGAAGAGTTGACTCATTTGAAAAGATCCTGATGCTGGGCAAGATTGAAGGCAGGAGGAGAAGGAGATGACAGAGGATGAGATGGTTGGATGGCATCATCAACTGGATGGTCATGAGTTTGAGTAAACTCCAAGAATTGGTGATGGACAGGGAGGCCTGACGTGCTGCAGTCCATGGGTTCCCAGAGAGTCGGACACGCAAAAAGTCGAGCAACTGAACCGAACTGAACTACATACGACTGAACTGGAAGGTTTCCCTCTGTTTTCCCTTGGCCCACACTCTTCCATCCTCAAGCATGTAATGCACACTCTAGACCTTCCTCTTTGCACATATAGGAGATTAATACATAGACTCGCTTGTTTGGTCAGATGCATTGCAACTTTCCAATCTTTCTCAACAGTATTCAAGGGACAAGTTTCCATGTCAGTGCATAAATAGGAACTATCTTTTTCTTCTTATTATTTTTTATTATAAAGTCAAGTTTATTGAGGGAAATTTTTTCTTGGCCACACTGCTTGCCTTGCAGAATATTAGTCCCCTAACCAGGTATTGAGCCAGAGCCCCCTGCAGTGAAAGCGCAGAGTCCTAATCACTGGACTGCAGGGAAGTCCCCTATTGAGGGAAGATTTACATACAGTAAAACTCATTGTTTTTAGGAGAAGAGTTTGCTGAGTTTTGACATAGGAGACAACATTCAAGTCAAGACAGAGATCTTTACTATCATCACCCAAACTTGCCTTTGCCGTTAACTTCCTCCTCACAACGTAACCCCTGGAATCCACTGATCTGTTCTCCATCCCTAGAGTTTTCTCTTCTCCGGAAGGTCATGTACCCGGAATTAAACAGGATTCGGGTTTTGTGTTGGCTCCTCCCACTTTGCATCATGCATCTGAGATTCAGCCATGGCCCTCATGTTGACCCCTCATCACGTTACTGACTACTGCTGCCTTGTACGAAGTTTAGCTAGTCATTCCAGTTGTTTCTAGCTTTCGGCTATCACAAATAAAGTGGCTATGAACATGCACATACAACTCTTTGGGTGGAAATATGTTTTATTTCTTTTAGACAAGTATCAAAAAGGAGAGTGGTTGGGTAGTGTGATAAGTATATATTTAGCTTCATGAGAGACTGCCAAACTGCTTTCCAAAGTGGTTGCACCATTTTGCATTCCCACTAGCAACTGTGAGAGCTACAGTTGCTCTACACCGTCACCAACACTTGGAATTGTCAGTCTTCTTTCATTTTAGCCATTCTAGTAACAGGTCGTGGTGTCTCACTATGGTTTCCATTTACGTTTCCCTAATAACTAAGATCATGGCATCTGGTCCCATCACTTCATGGCAAATAGATGGGGAGACTGGCTGACTTTATTTTTCTGGGCTCCAAAATCACTGTAGATGGTGATTGCAGCCATGAAATTAAAAGATGCTTGCTCCTTGGAAGAAAAGTTATGACCAACCTAGACAACATATTAAAAAGCAGAGACATTACTTTGCCAACAAAGGTCCGTCTAGTCAAGGCTATGGCTTTTCCAGTTGTCATGTATGGATGTGAGAGTTGGACCATAAAGAAAGCTGAGCACCGAAGTATTGATGCTTTTGATCTGTGGTGTTGGAGAAGCCTCTTGAGAGTCCCTTGGACTGCAAGGAGATCCAACCAGTCCATCCTAATGGAAATCAGTCCTGAATATTCATTGAAGGGACTGATGCTGAAGCTGAAACTCCAATACTTTGGCCACCTGATGCAAAGAGCTGACTCATTGGAAAAGACCCTGATGCTGGGAAAGATTGAAGGCAGGAGGAGAAGGGGACGACAGAGGATGAGATGGTTGGATGGCATCACTGACTCAATGGACATGGGTTTGGGTGGACTCCAGGAGTTGGTGATGGACAGGGAGGCATGGCGTGCTGCAGTTCATGAGGTCGCAAAGAGTCGGACATGACTGAGTGACTGAACTGAACTGAACTGAATGACTAATGATGTTGTATTTTCATGTACTTATTTGCCATTCATGTATCTTCTTTGGAAAAGTATCCATTCAAACTCACACCTTTTGCCCTTTTATTTTAGTTGGGTTGCTTCATTATAATTGAGTTGTAAAAGTTATTTGTGTATTTTGAATAGAAGTCCCTTGTATGTGTCTTGCAAGTATTTTTGTCTAGTTTTTGGCTTCTCTTTTCAATTTTAACTTTTTCTATTGAAGAGCAGAAGTTTTACAATTTTGATGAGTCCAGTGAAGATTTCTTTTCTTTTATTGTTTGTGCTTTTTCTGTCCTTAAGAAACATTTTTTTTCCATGGAAGCACGGATGGTTACTAAAGGTGAGGAGGTGAATGGAAAAATGTTGATCATAGGGTACAAAGTTTTAGTCTGCAGGATAAATAAATTCTAGAGTTCTAATGTTCAGCATAGTGACTATAGCTAATAATACTGTATTGTATACTTAAATTTTTCCAAGAGAGTACTTCTTTTTTTGGCCACACTACATGACTTCAGAACCCTAGTTCCCCAGCCAGGGATCACTGAACCTGTGCCCCCTGCAGTGAAGGGCAGGATCTTATCACTAGACCACCAGGCAAGTCCCTAAGAGAGTACTTCTCAGGTGTTCTCATTAGGAAAAAAAGAGCAAACAAACATGTGAGATAATGAATATGTTAATCGGCTTGACTAATTATTTCACAATGTATATCCAAAATATCATGTTGTTACACCTTAAATATACAGAATTTTATTAAATATTTTTAATTTAAAAAAGAAGTTTTTGCCTAACCCAAGGTCACTAAGATTTTCTTTTATTTTCTTCTGAAAGTTTAATGATTTTATCTCTTTCATTGAGGTCTATAGTTTGCTTTGAGATAATTTTTTTGTAGGGGGCAATGCGAGGGTTGGGCTTCCCAGGTGGCTCAGTGGGTAAAGAATCCGCCTGCAACGCAGGAGACCCGGGTTTGATCCCTGGGTCGGGAAGATCCCCTGGTGGAGGGCATGGCCACCCGCTCCAGTATTCTTGCCTGGAGAATCCTGTGGACAGAGGAGCCCGCAGACCACAGTCCGTGGGGTTGCAAAGAGTTGGACACGACTGAAGCAACTCAGCATGCACACACATAATGAAAGGGTTAGGGTTCAGTTTTGTTTGTTTTGGTATCGAATACCAGTTTTCCAGAATCATTTGTTGCAGAGATAATGCCAAAGAATGTTCCAGCTACCACACAATTGCCCTCATTTTACATGCTAGCAAGGTAATGATCAAAATCCTTCAAGCTAGGCTTCAGCAGTGTGTTAACTGAGAACTTCCAAATGTACAATATGGATTTAGAAAAGGCAGAGGAACCAGAGGTCAAATTGCCAACATTGGTTGGATCATGGAGAAAGCAAGAGAATTCCAGAAAAACATCTACTTCTGCTTCATTGACTATGCCAAAACCTTTGACTGTGTGGATCACAACAGACTGTGGTAAATTCTTCAAGAGATGGGAATAGCAGACCACCTTACATGTCTCCTGAGAAACCTGTATGCAGGCCAAGAAGCAACGGTTAGAACTGGACATGAAGCAACGGACTGGTACAAAATTGGGAAAGGAGTGTGTCAAGGCTGTGTATTGACACCCTAATTATTTAACTTATATGCAGAGCACATCATGTAAAATGCTGGACTGGATGACTCACAAACTGGAATCAAGATTGCCAGGAGAAATATCAACTACCTTAGAAATGCAGATGATAGCACTCTAACGGCAGAAAGTGAAGAGGAACGTAAAAGGCCTCTTGATGAGAGTGAAAGAGTGAAAACACTAGCTTAAAATTCAACATTCAGAAAACACAGATCTTGGCATCTGGTCCCATTCAGTTCAGTTCAGTTCAGTTGCTCAGTCATGTCTGACTCTTTGTGACCCCATGAATCACAGCACGCCAGGCCTCCTTGTCCATCAGCGACTCACGGAGTTTACTCAAACCCATGTTGATCGAGTTGGTGATGCCATCCAGCCATCTCATCCTCTGTCGTCCCCTTCTCCTTGACTGATGCGGCCCCCAATCCCTCCCAGCATCAGGGCTTTTTCCAATGAGTCAACTCTTCGCATGAGGTGGCCAAAGTAATGGAGTTTCAGCTTCAGCATCAGTCCTTCCAATTACTTCATGACAAATAGAAGGGGAACAAGTGGAAGCAGTGATAGATTTTCTTTTCTTGGGCTCCAAAATCACTGTGGATAGTGACTGCAGCCATGAAATTAAAAGATGTTTGCTCCTTGGAAGAAAAGCTGTGACCAATCTAGACACATATTAAAAAGCGGAGACATCACATTTCTGACAAAGGTCCATATAGTCAAAGCTACAGATTTTCCAGTAGTCATGTGTGGATGTGAGAGTCGGACAATAAAGGCTGAGTGCCAAATAATTGATGCTTTCAAATTGTGGTGTTGGAGAAGACTCTGAGAGACCCTTGAACAACAGGGAGATCAAGCCAGTCCATCCTAAAAGAAATCAACCCTGAATATTCATTGGAAGGACTGATGCCAAAGCTGAAGCTCCAATATTTTGGCCTCCTGATGCAAAGAGCCAACTCACTGGAAAAGACCCTGATGCTGGGAAAGATTGAGGGCAGGACGAGAAGGGGATGACAGAGGAAGAGATGGTGGGATAGGATCACTGACTTAATGGACATGAGTTTGAGCAGATTCTAGGAGATAGGGAAGGATAGGGACGCCTGGCACACTACAGTCCTTGGGGTCACCAAGAGTCGGCACAGTGACTGAACAACAGCAAACCTTATTCCCTGTGATGTCTGTATAATGTTTCAGTGAATGGAGGGAACGTCTGTTTCACATCTGAGGCTATGATGAATATCCTTGCATCTTAACCCCTAGGCAGCGGCACGAGTATTTCTGTGGAATCTCTGAGTGAAATGGCACGCGTCTGCTCAGCGTTAAGTGACGGGTATGCTCACATTGCTCCTCAGCGTGCACCCCGACCTCCAGGGCCTGGGAAGGAAGGCTCTAACTTTGATTGGCTTTATTGGTGTCAGCCTTTCACAAATCTCAGATCATTTCCTTCTAGAGAAATGTAATAGCCTGTGTTATTAGATTCTGAAAGATTCAGAGCCTTTCCAGAAGAGTTTCAAGAGAGATGATAATTTCTTCCTCAGTCAGTTAGGGTAACCTCATATGAAACAGGCTCATAAAATACCTGGTCCAGGGGAAGTGGAAATTTACAAAACACGATTTAATAAGTGCTGGGGGCCTATAAATGCCTCTGTGCTGGGGCCTCCCCAGAGGGTGGAGGTCTCAGTTGCATGTTTAGATGAGCAGTGACTTCCCCTGCGTGGCCTGAGTGCACGTTCAGCCTCCTGCGTGCAGGCCACGGTCCACAGGCCCACCCTGGCCCCGGCTCTCCCTGGACCGGGCCTTGGCCCACAGCTGCATGGGTGCAGGCAGGGCTGCTGGGAAGCTCCATCCGCTTAGCATGGCAGGAGCATAAGGTTACATCCCTTTTCCTACTTCCTTTTCATCCTACAGTGGTGTGATTGGACCATATTAACTGACATGGGAACTGTCCTGGCGGGGCTGAGGGGGTTGCACTGAGCTCTGAAACAGTCCCCTATCTTTAGGGACAATGGTGTGTGTGTGTGTGTGTGTGTGTGTGTGCATGCTCAGTCACTCCATCGTGTCTGACTCTCTGAGATCTCACAGACGGTAGCCCTCCAGGCATCACTGTCCGCGGGATTTTCCAGGCAAGGAAATGGGGCAGGTTGCCATTTGCTACTCCAGGTGACCTTCTCAACCTAGGGACCAAACCCCGTGTCTCCTGCCTTGGCTGGCAGATCCTTTAGCACTGCGCCACCAGGGAAGCCTCTCAGCGACGTTCACACACATTAAACAGCAACACGTGGTGGGGTGGAAGCCGTTCGGACACTATACCACCAGTTGTCATGGGAAGGACATAGCAACAGAATCTGTGGCAACTACAAGGTCAGTAGTGAGATCTGGGTGCGGAGAGGAGCAATCCCTCTGGCTTCTCAGAGGAGGAATCAGCACTGGATGGTGAAAGTCCAGGTTCTGGCACCAAGTTACTAAGAAATTACCTTCCCCTCACATAGCCTACACCTTCTGCAAGGCACCCAAAGCCCACTGCTGGGGCTGGAGGCTTCCAGAGCTGTGCAAACAAGCCTGAGAATATCCTGGCTAGAGTCGGCCAAAAATCATGATCCTTCTGTTAAACATTGTGGGAACAGCGACATGGGGTGCCCCTTTCTTTAAGCCTGTCCTGTTGTTAATTTTGAATCTAACTCGAGTATATTCTTCATACTTTTCTCCTAAATCGTGTATTAGTTAGCTATTGCTGCTGTAACAAATCATCTGAAAACCTAGTGGCTTCTGGACACTGAAGGCAAATCAACAGGCAACTTGCTTGCTCGTGACTCTGTTGTCTGGGTTGGGTCCACCTGTGTAGTTCTTTAGAGGGTCTGACCTGGTCCCTTCGGTGACTACCATCGTCTGGGGACCTGAATGAAGCTAGATGATCCAAACTGACCTCACTCTCCTGTCAAGGGCCTTGTCCGAGATGGCCAGATGGCCAGTCTCAGCCACTTCCCTCTCCTTGTGGCCTAGTCAGTAGTCCAGACTTTTGAACGTGGTAGCTGTTTTCCAAGAAGAGGCAAAAGCCAAAGCTCCCAGGCCTGTTGAGGCCAGGCCCAGAAATGGCAGCGTCAGTTCAGCCACATTCTGAGGGTCAGAGCTTGCCGCAAGGCCAGCCCAGACTCAACAGGAGGGGAAACAGACCCCCACCTCCTGTGGGGAAGAGCATCGTGCAGCCGCAGGGATGCAGGAGACTGCGGGTGGCCAGCTCAGCCGCCTATCCACCGCGGCTCCGCAGGCTTCATTTCTGTTGTCTCTATACATCATCTTCAATTCGTGTATGAGTCATCCCGTGCTACCCCATGTAACCTTTCCAACAGGCCGTTAAGGAGAAAACTGAGGCTCGGAGCCATCAGGCAGTTTGTCCCCGGTCACAGCAGAGCGCCAGCCCCCTGGACCCGGAGCTGCAGGCCTCGCCTCTCCGTGTCCTGCTCTTCCGGAGCTCGGCTCCTGCACCCCGGAGATGGGAGTCACAACGTTTGTTTTAGTTTTTCTTTTTCTATTGGAGTGGAATCACTGTACAACATCATGCTAGTTTCGGCTGCACCTCAATGTGAATCAGCTCTGTGCAAAGCTCATCGCGTCCTTCCTGAGCCTCCCACCCCCCTTCAGCGCCCCCAGGTCAGCACAGGGCCCCAGGCTGAGCTCCCTCTGTCGCTCGGCTGCTTCCCACCCTCTGTCTGTCTGACACTCGGCAGTGTGTACACGTCAATGCTACTCTATTTGTCCTGCCACCTCCTTCCCCTTCTGGGTCCACATGTGTGTTCCCTACGTCAGCACCCCTATTCCTGCCTTGTAGATAGGTTCATCCGTACCGCTTTTCTAGATTCCACATATATGCATTAGCATACGATATTTGCTTTTCTCTCTCTGACTTGCTTCACTCTGTATGACAGACTCTAGGTCTCTCCACATCTACTACAAGTGACCCAATTTTGTTCCTCTTTATGACTGAGTAATATTCCGTTGTATATCTGTACCACAACTTCTTTGTACATGCATCTGTCAATGGACATTTAGTTTGTTTCCATGTGCTGGCTATTGTAAATAGTGCTGCAAAGAACATTGGTGTGTATGTGTCTTTTTGTATTATCGTTTGCTCAGGGTATGAATTAATGCCCATGAGGGGTTGGGAGTATGTTATGTAGATTAAAGCAAAATGAACATCTCTGTGGATTATTATTTTAATTATTTATATAGAGAGACCTAAAGATCTCTTTAACAGTCTCTATAACCTCATGAGAGGATTCACTGAAGGATGTGACATTTTATTTGAAGAATTTTGTCTAGCCAAAAGTCAAGTCAGTGATGTTATTTCCCTAATGTAGTATGATCAATAATCATTTGCTTTATAATCCACTGACTTCATTTTTCGCTCATTGCTTTGCATAGATAAAAAGTTACAAATTCTTTAAAAAAATAAAAGGTTAGAAACAGTAGAGAGAAAATAAGCACTTTTTAATGGAGAAAGAAACTGTTTTGGAAAATATAAATTCACCACTACGACCACCCCCCACTTTTTATTGGATGATTAAAGAAAAAAATCCAGGGTCAACATAACATTGGTCCCCCAGTGGGTCAAAGTGTCACAGGCTGACCGCAGAAGGCTTTGTCTCCATGGAATTCAGTTCGAATCCTGAGAGTCTGAGCTGACTCTGGGATCTGCAGAACACCTTGGTTGGGAGGGGGCAGGCGCTGGTGGATGATCAATCAAGAAATCTGTCTGCCCTTGAGGACCGCGTCTAGGGGACATTTGAGAATTCACTGCCCCCCCCCTTTTTTTTAAAGTCACTTCTTCAGTGGCCTCTTTCCTCAGTCTGCAGAAAAGAAATTTCAGATATCTTAATTTTAACATGGGCATCTGATCCCGGGTTAAGATAAATATAACCCAGTGTAGTACGGAGGAGGTTTAGTGGGAA